TGAGGTCATGTTTATAAAGTGCTACATATAAACATCAATCATGATCCCATGACTCCATGACCTCTGAGTTCCCATCCAGCTCAACATTTACGATCTGGTGATCTTAAGGTACAGAGCGGCAGATTTAAGCTCATTTTTGGAAAAAATTTCCCAGCAATTACAGCTAGAAAAGCAGTTGTTCCAACGAGACCACCCTTTTCAAAGTATGAATTTGTTGTTTTTCTGTCTCTCGCCCTTTTTAATACAGCTGCAGAGAGGCAGGAAGGAGACTCTTTTTCCCTCTGTTCTGAACCTCCATCATGGGCAGAAATGGAAATCAATCCACTCAATGGAACATTGATTTAGGGCCTAACACTTGGAGGGCACCAAGCTAAGCAGCGGGAACACAAAAACCAGAATCAACAACAGCCCAGTCCCTGCCCTCAAGCGGCTTACCATTTGTTGTCTGAAACGCCCTTTGCCCTCCCTCAGCTCTTTTTTTACTGCTTACATAGGAACTAAATAGTTACAGATTCTACCACCTCTCATGTATAATGGAGAGGGGAATTCTCAGCCAGGTGTAGGTAGGGCCAGAGGGCCCCTGAGGTCTCTTCCAGCCCTGAGGCCTTGTGTCTTCTCTAGGTCCAATCATCTTGTTTTGTGAATTTGGTTTGACAACCTACAGAGCTCATCCATCAGCAACTGTCTCTTGGACAGATACTGCAAATGGACAATGATTTGGGACTGGAATTGACATTTATTTCTCTGTCTGATGCATTTCCCCAGGAGAGGCTGAGGACACTGAGTTTTTGTATTCCCCAAACCACCTTCAGCACATCTACTTGCCCAACGTTTGCCAAATGTTACAGAATGGAATTCTGGGATCCATCAGTTCTCCTTCAATGTTTTTCATCCATCTTTTCTGGCAAAACAGATTCTCAACAGGCTAATTTCCACAGAATTCATTTTAAAGCTCTAGGGAACTTTAGAGATCTTAGGTTCCTTATAAAATCCTCTCTTCCAATTGTTCTCCTGAATAGAGTCAGAAGAACTGAGTTCATATCTTAGCTCTGCTACTTATTGTTTAATCTCTCTGGGCCTATTTCCTCCACACCTCAAAAGGAAAGAGGTTGGGCTAGATGGTTCCTAAGCCCCTTTTCTTCCTCTGAGCCTCATTTTTGTCAGACACCTTAACAATTCAATTTCTGTCTGCATACCTTTTCCTAGACCTTTTCCTCATTTCTGGAATGTATTGAGAGGGGCGTAGTTTCCAGGAACAAGGAGGTGACACCGTCCTACTGTCCTCTGCCCTCATCACCTTCTCTAGAGCTCACACTCAGGGCTGACACCATGGTTTAAGAAAAACGTTGATAAGCTGAAGGGCCACCAAGATGGTGAAGGGTTATCCATCCATGACATTTGGAGATCAGTCTAAAAACTTGGCATGTTTAACCTAGAGAAAAGAAGATTGGGGGGAGAGGGAGAGGCATAATATCCATATTTGAAGGGCTGTCACATGGAGGAGGATGGATTAGACTTGTTCTATCTGTCTCCAGAGGGAAGAACCAGGAGCTGTGGGAAGAAGGTACAAATAAGCATATTGAGGTTTGCTGTCGGGAGCAACTTTATAATAAGCAGAACTTGTTCAAAAGTGAAACAGCTATTTGAGGAAGCCCTCAGTTTCTCTTCCTTGGAGTCTTCAAGCAGAAGCTGGACAACCCCCCCCCCCCCAATTTTATTTTATTTTTCAAAATTCAAAATTCAAATTTATTTTTGTTTTCAGTTCTTTCCCTTTCTCCTCTCACCCAAAGAGGAAGCACAAAAAACAAAACCTGTCACAAACATGCACATTTAGCCAAAACAAATCCCCTCATTGGCCATGTGCAAAAATCCAATAAATTGTGACTTGTAGGCTGAGTCCATTGACTCTCTATCTGGAGGTGGGTAGCATGTCTTATCGTGAGTCTTCTGGAGTTGGTCATTATGTTGACTGGAGTTACTAAGTCTTTCAAAGTTGATTGTCTTTACAATGTTGTTGTCCTTGTATAACTATTGTATCCTCTGTTAGCAGGGGTATGCAGCCTGGTAACAAAGTGGTTTTACTGGCTAGTTTTCATTTGTGCCAAAAGTGTGTGTGTGTGTGGGGGGGGGTTAATACCTAGGTTAATACCTTTGTTTTGATTGGCCTAACAGTACATCTTGATTGGTGGACACTTTAATGAAGAGGTGGGCTAAGACAGTTCTCAGCTCCTTCCTATTACTTCATCTGTGGGTGGAGGGAAACAAGAGCATCCCCTAGGGAGGGCCTTGGCTCAAACTGACTTCTGGGGTAAATAGAAAATAGGAGCTCTGAGTTCCATGGAAAGCTTAGAACTTGGTCAAACATCCAAGATGCCAAAGTTACCCAGTGCATCCCAGGCCATTGCCAGTCATCCTGATTTTCGTCTTGCCACTGGACTTCGATGTCTCTGGAAGAGAGAGTGAGGCTAATGACTTTGTGTAACTGTGCCTCACTTAAATCCAATTCAAGCCCAGAGTCAAGCCATCACCCTGTGATGTCATTGGTCCTCTTTGAACAACAACAACAAAAATAACAACAAACAGAGGCAAGGAGCCCTGCCCAAGCTAAGTTAAGGAGCAGATGCCTTTGAGGAATGGGAGTAATTACCTTATTCTATTATGTCCTTCAGAAAAGCTGCCAGACCTTCTGAGGTTGAAGTCTGGGGAAACCAATGCATTCACATAGAAATATTGGTAATAAATACAAGCCAAATATTAATTTTCCTCTTTCTTCTCATTCTTCTCACTTCACCCTGCATCACTTCATAACAAGCTTTCCCAGGTTTCTCTGAGACTTTCCTCTTCATTTCTTATAGCACAACAGTATTCCATCACCCTCATATACCATAATTTGTTCAGCCATTCCCCTATTGATGGGCACCCCTTCAGTTTGCAATTCTTTGCCACAACAAAAAGAGCTGCTGTAAATATTGTTGTACATGTGAGTCCTTCTCTTTCTTTAAGCTCTTTAGGGTATAGACCTAGTTACATTATTTCTGGGTCAAAGAGTATGCAAAGTTTAGCAGCTTTCTGGCCATAGTTCTAAATTGCTTCTGGCAACCACTTGTGAGGTAGATCAGACTAGGGGCTTCTTCTGTGTACCTACCGCCAGTGAGGTCCCTTCTGACTCTCTATGATTCGATAATTCTGTGACCTAAGTCCATAAGGCTCTTAGACTAGCTGTCTAGATTCGCCACACTACATGCTTACTTTTAAGCAGTCTAAGTCTGCTTAAAAGTAAAAAACAAAACAAAACAAGATGAGCTTTTATAGTGTTCTAAGTGTAGTGCTAGGGAGGGACTTGTATTTAAGGATGCAAAGTTACACAGCTCATGCTAGCTTTCATACTTATAAAGTACAGTCACTCGACAGATAACAGAACTTAAGTATTCAAAAGGTTCACCAAGAACCTGGTCTGATTCGTAAGGAAACACACCAGAAAATGCTGCCCAATTACAGTCTTCCATGGGCTTTTTTCTCTGCTTCTGGTTGGATTTGTAGCCTCCTACCAATCCAGCCTCTCCAATGACGTGGGGGAGAGAGGGATCTAACTCCACTTCGGCTCACTTCGGCATCCTTTCCCTGCCCTCCGGAATCCTGCAAAAGGGTCTGTGGCTCTACTGCCCGGAGCCAAGCAAGGCTTGGCCAGCCCTCAGATAAACCAAGCAACCCCATGAACTTCCTCCTGCTCCAAAGCCCCCGGAGACCCCATTAAGCTGTTTGGTTAGCCAGTCATAATTTTCCCTTCTAGAACTAATCAAAGTGGTTTCCATCTCATAAAGGGACCACAGAGTGGAGAGCTGAGGGTCTTAACCTGAAGTCCGTGAACTTTTAAAGTCATTTTGATAACTATTTCAGCATAATTGACTCCTTTGTAATCTTACACACTTTTTTTTTTTTAAAAATTGATTTAAAAACAGAACTGGGAAGGGGGAACGGTCCCTGGCACAGGGGCCGGATAAAGTCTGGCAAGGCAAGTGGGAGACCCTGGGCCCCAGCCTTAAGTGGGTGCCGCGGGAGGAGCTCAGCCACGCCCACTCTGCACCCCCTCCAATCCGAGGGGGGGAGGGGCCCGTGGAGGAGGCGTTCATTTCAGTGGGTCCAATCCTTTGGAAGACCATTTCCTTTAGACCTTAAGGAGGAAGCTGAGATCCGGGGAGATCCGGGGTCATGCATGACTGGGATGCGAGGCAGGCTTCTGGGACAGGCTCATTTAATTCCGTTTTGTGCCGGCCAGCCCTTGCCCCTCTCCGGGGTCTAGGTGTAGCCGGACATCACTGCCCGGCTAAAGGGCACTCACACTGTAATGGATTTTTGGCCACAGTTCCAAATTGCTTCTGGACAACCGCTTGTGAGGCGGATCGGATCTCTGGGCCAATTGAATTCAATCCAATTGATCCACCAGCAAACATCAAGCACCCTGTTAGAGCCTGGCACCGGGCTAAGGCCTGAGGGCACGCCCACCCACCCACGGGGTTCCCAGGTTCTGGGGGGGTCACTGTAGAGACACGTTGACACATAGCGCCCCCGTCGGTCACTTGGTCAAGCAGGACAGGTCACACACATCCCCTCCCCCCGTGCCTCAGTTTCCCCCTCGGAGAGGCGGGGGCGGATCTCCTGGGAAGCGCTCGGCACAGCGCTCCGCCCCATGTGCCCGCTGGCTCGGGGAAGGGGTGCGGACGCGGTGGGCTGGACTGGAAGCTGGCCGAGGGCAGCGCCCTTCCTTTAAAGCTGCGTGTATTCATTCCCGGTTCGAGCTCCGACGCCCCGCGGCCTGGGAGCGCCCCGGCGGCCCCGCCCTCCGGCCTGGGGGGGGGAGGAGGAGGGAGTCGGGCGGCGCGCCTGCGCGGCGGGAGCATCCCGGCGGAGCAGCGCGCGGCCCCGGCGGGAGGGGGCGGGGCGCTGTGGCGGCGCGCGCCCGGCGGGGCGGAGGCGGGGGCGCGCAGTCCCAGTCGGCCGGGCCCCGGGCGCCGCAGCCATGGCGGAGCGCCGAGCCTTCGCGCAGAAGATCAGCAGGTACCGCGAGCGCGAGAGCGGGAGGGCGCGGCCCGAGGCCGGGGCGGGGGCGCCCGGGCTGGGGGAGGCGGCTGCTCGGGGGGGGGGGGCCCGGGGGGGGGGGGGGGGCGCGGGGGGGGGGGCGGCGGGGGGGGGGGGGGGAGGGCCCCGCCCCCGGGACCCCCCCGCCGCCCCTCCCCCTCCATCTCCCCGTCTCCATCGCCCCCTCCCCTTCTCTTTCTCTCCCATTCTTCCTGCTCTCCCTCCCCCCCCAGGGGCGGGGGTCCCTGGCCGGGGTCGCCTGCAGGCCCCCCCCCTCCAGCTCCGGGTGCAGGCGGGAGGGGCTCCGCGGAGCGCGGGGGGGTGGGGGGGAGCAGCCCACGAGACGGCGCTGGCCCGGCGCCCTGACCGCAGCGAGGATACTTTGTTACCCGCGGGTCGGTGCGTGGGCGGGGCGGGCTCGGGTCCAGAGCCGACCGGGGCTGCCGGGGCTGGGCGGGTCTGGACGGCTGCGAGCGGCATCCCTGGAGGGAGCCTTCACCTCCGGGAGACCCCAGACCCGCCCCGGGGCAGACCCTCGCCCCCTGCACCCTGGCAGTAGCTCCTGGGGGTCCGCTGCCCCAGGCTCTCCTCGCTCGGGTCCATCCTCCGCTCTGGGGCAAAGTGGGTGTCCCAAAGCCCAGGTCTGACCGTGTCACCCCTCTACCCACCGTTGCCTTCAGAATCAAATACAAATCCTCTGGGGCATTCACCCCCTGCCCCCCTCCCACCTTCCAGTCTCTGTGATTCAGGAGCACTGACCTCCTGGCTGTTCCTGAAGCACATTACTCAGGCTCCCGACTCTGGACTTTTTCTCTGGCAGTGCCCCCTGCCTGGAGTGCTCTCCCTTCTCCTTCAAGTCCCAGCTAAAATCCTTCTTCCACAGGAAGCCTTTCCCAACCCCTCTTCATTCTAGTGCCATCCCTCTGTTCATTATCTCCCATTTTTCGGCTGTGCAGCTGTTTGGGCCCGCTGGTTTGCTTGTTTTCTGCCCGTTAGACTGGGAGCTCCCTGAAGGCAGGGACATCTCTGGCCATTCTTTGTATCCCCAGTGCTTAGCAGGGTGCCTGAAATATAGTAGGGGCTTAATGAGTACTAGTTGACTGATGTAGACGTTTACAGTGTCAGGTAATTTCAAGAGAGCTCTGGAGTGTGTAGGGGCACCAAGGTGATGGAAAGGCACCTAACTGGCCTTTGGAGGAGATGAGGGGATTCTCTGCGGTGGAGGTGGGGGGCCAGAAGGAGCACAGCCTACATATAAAGGGCCATTTTGGAGAGCAGCAGCACCAGGGGAGGCAGGCTGGATAGGACACGCATGGGGACTTCTTCCCAAGGGTGATAGAGAGTCAGTAACTTGCTTATGGTCATATAAACTGGCCAGCGTCCGAGGCAAGGCCCAGTCAGAGTTTACCGACTCTCCCCCATGACCTGGTGGATGGTGTGGGGTGCCCTGGAACCCCAGGAAGGCAGGTGAATAGAGCAGGTTGTGTGTGTGGTGGCAACCTCAGTGCTACCTAGGGATCTGGTGACTGCTTCAGGAATTGGGCAAACATTTATCTAGTGCCTGCTATGTGCAAAGCCGGGCTCTAGTTTGGGGCATCTTTCTTTCATAAAGGACATTCCCAAATGTGTTTGAGACAAGAGCAGAGAGCCTTTTGTGAGGGTTAGGGGAGCTCCAGAGGAGGGCATACCACATAGTGAGTGACCCCAAGGTCCTGCCATCTGATGGTCTGAAGGGGAGCTGGCCCTGAAAGGAGAGTGGCCAGGAGCTGGACGTGGTCCAAGTGGCAGAGAGGAGAAAGTGGCCTGGGCTGCTTCAGGAGACTGGGGCTTGACCCTGCTGGAGCTTTGAAAACAGAAGCTGGCCAGTTCCTGGTGGGATGACCCTGTTTGGGGGCATGGGTGGACCCAGTGACTGCAGAAACCCAAGTGGAAGTGCTGCAACCCTCCCCATGAGGAGGGTGTGTGAGCTGGGGCTTAAGGAATGGGTCGGGGCCTTCGTGTTGGAGGGGGTGCGGGGAGGAGGAGCGGTGGAATTGCTGCATGCAGTTAATGTGGATCACTGTTGTGGAAATAGGTCTCCGGCTTTTTCCTGTTTGTGTTTTTATTGATGGATGAGAAGGGGAAGGAAAGGGAATAAAGATGCATTTAGGTAGTACCTACTGTGTGCTGGGAGCTTTTTACTAATGTTGATTCATTTGATCTTTGTGAAGTGAGTGCTGGAAAACCGAGGCAGAGAGGTGAAGTGACTTGTCCAGGGTCACCCAGTGAGTCACTGTCTGAGGCTGGATTAGAACTCAGGTTTTCCTGACTCCAGGCTCAGTGCTCTACCCACTGGGCCACCAGCTGCCCCAACACAGAGCAGAGGATGTGCTTCTCTTTCAGTACTGACTTGGGACGGGCCTGGAATGCTCCCCCTTCCCCTGTCTCTTGGAACCTGTCCTTCACGTCCAGACTCTGTCAGAGGCCACTTCCACTAAGCAGATTTTCCTGGTCTCCTCATCTCACTTCCATCTTAAGCCTTTTATCCTTCTGCTCCTTCCATCTTGGTTCCCACCTCCTGTTGTGCTCTGGCTGGCCATAGTCACCTTTTTCCAGCCCTGGCGGCACTTCCACTCCTGTCCCCCTCACCCTCATCAGTCCCCATTGCCCCTTTTAGGCACCACCTCCTTTACGGGTTATTCAATCCAAATCTGTGTCAACCAAGATTCTGGGGACCAGTTACTTCTGCCGCTGGGGCACTGTCCTTTCTCAGGAAGTTCAGTAGCTGACTCACAGTCTTTCCACCTCAAGCCTGCCTTTGTAAGAGGAGATGTCAGCCCCTCTTGTCACTGATCGTGCTTTGGGTCTGTTTCTTAATCATGTACTTTTGAATGGAGGAGGAGAAAATCGCAAAACCATGCTGAAGGGGTCCACCACGGTTTGTGTTACATATTCTCCAGCAGTCCTTTTGCACATCCCCGATACTTCTCTGCCATCCCCACAGTGGTCTTTCCAACCCTTCACCCCCCTCTGCCCTCCCTTGGCTCCCCTGCCCCTCACTCTGAAGACCTTGCCTCCGACTTCACTGAAAACATTGAGGCTTTTTGCCTCGAGCTCCTTCTTCTCCCCCTGCCCCAACTCACATCACTCAAGGTCATGCCCCACAACAAAACTTCCATTACCCCTTGTCTCACTCCCCTTCCCTTTGCCCAGGTGACCCCTACTGCAGGACTTCTCCAGCTGACCACCTCCTCCATCCTCACCCCTCTCACTAATCTCCAGTTTTTCCCCGCCCCCACTGGTGCTCCTCTGCTGCCTACAGATACTGCCACGTCTCCCCAGACCTCCTCACTGGAGCCTGCCATCCCTGCTCTCTGTCATCCTGTCTCTTTCCTTCCTGACATGGTGAAACCTCTCAACAGAGCTGTGTAAAATCAGTTCTCTCACTCTCTTCTAAGTGCTTTCTCTTCTGCCTTCTGACCTCCTCCTTCCACTGAAGCTGCTGTCTAGTCACCAGTTGTTTTCTCATTGCCAGATTGAATGGCCTTTTCTCCACTGGAGAATCAAATGGCAAACCATCTGGTATCTGTGCCAAGAAAACCCATATGGGGTCATGAGGAGACGGGCATGACTGAATATGGAACAGCAACAACGGAAATGGCCTTTCTCCATCCTCCTCCTCCCCCTTGCCCGCAGCAGCCTTTGACTGGCCAGCGTTGACCCTTTTCCATGATACTGTTCTCTCCTGGTTCTCTTTCTACCGCTGTAACTGCCCTGTCTCTGTCTCTTTTGCTGAATCTTCTTTCACTCACATGTGGGTGTTTCCCGAAGGTCTCTCCTGGGCCCTTCTCTCCCTCTTTACAAGAGGGTCTTAACCTGGGTCTGTGAACTTATTTTAATTTTTTTAAGATATTTTGAGATAATTTGTTTCCTTTGTAATACTAAGTATTTTATGCATTTTAGCACGTTGTTCTGAAGAGTCCATGAGCTTGACCACACTCCTGGGGCCGGGAGGTGGGGCGTCCAGGACACAAAAGAGGTTGAGAACTATCTTGCGTAGGGATACCATCCGCTCCCATGGGTTCCATTATTGTTGTTGTTCAGTTGGTCAGTTGTGTCTGACTTTTCATGACTCCATGGGTCACAGCACACCAGGCCCTTCTCTCCTCCACTGTCTCTCCAAGTCTGTCCAAGCTCACGCCCATTGCTTCCGTGACACTCTCTATCCATCTCATTTTCGGCTGTCCCCTTCTCCTTTTGCCTTTAATCTTTTCCAACATCAGGGTCTTTTCCAGTGAGTTCCGTCTTCTCATTATGTGGCCAAAATATTTCAGTCTCAGCTTCGGTATTTGACCTTCCAGTGAATAGTCTGAATTAATTTCTTTAAGTATTGACTGATTTGATCTCCTTGCTGTCCAAGGGACTCTCAAAAGTCTTCTCCAGCACCACCATTCCAAAGTGTCAATTCTTTGGTGCTCAGCTTTCCTTGTAGTCCAAACTATACGGACCTTTACAGCAAAGTAATGTCTCTGCTTTTTAGTCCACTATCCGGATTGGCCATAACTTTCCTCCCAAGGAGCAGATGTCTTGTAATTTCATGGTGCAGTCGTCATCTGCATTGATCTTTGAGGCCAAGAATATAAAATCTGACACTGCTTCCATTTCTTCTCCCTCTATTTGCCAGAAAGTGATGAGAGCAGTTGCCAAGATCTTTGCTTTTTTGATGTTAAGCAGCAAGCTAGCTTTTATGCTCTCCTCTTTCACCCTCATCAAGAGTCTTCTTAATTCTCCTTCACTTTCTGCCATCAGAGAGGTATTATCTGCATATCTGGGATTGTTGATATTTCTCCCAGCAACCTTAATTCCAGCTTTTGATTAGTCCAGCCTTGTATTTTGCATGATGTACTCTGCATATAAGTTAAATAAAGAAGGTGCCAGTATACGTCCTTGTTGTACTCCTTTTCCAATATTAAACCAATCAGTCATTCCGTGTTTGGTTA